GCATATAATTTAAAACAAATATTCCCTAATAGATGTTTTTAACTTATAGTTGAGCGTATCTGTCTCTTAAGTGTTCTCCAAATATTTCGAAGTATTTAAATATGGACCATTTAACGAAAATACTGAAAATTGAAGTTTCAAATTATGAAGAAAGAAAAGTTCCATCCATACAAAATTAGACTAGTGCAGGAACTTAACGAAGATGATGCGGACCGTAGACTAAAATATGGTGAAACTACACTGTTAAAAATTTCTATTGTAATTTTTCTAAACATGTTTAGGAAGTTTTTACGCACAACAATATAGTAATAATCAAACTCAATTTTGTAAATTCACTATAGTGTATACACGATTCATTACAACTCAATTTGGGAAAATTACAAAACGTTTGTTGAAATTCAAAAGCATTTATTAAAAATTTGTTCAGTAACATTACTATACAGGTATTGAAATTTTGCTAAAAAAATACCAAATATGTTTAGTAATTTTAAAATGGTGTATTGTAATTCATTTCAACTCAGTTTAAGAAAATTACAAAATATATTTTACAATTTTACTGAACTGAAGAAAATTCGTTTTGCAATATTACAATACAAATATTGTTATTTTGTTCAACAAATTACACTAAAAACATTTAGTAATTTACGAATGATGGTATTGTAATCATACTATGAAAAAAAAACCTGCAATTTTCTTTCTTCAAGAAACTTTCTTGACCCATTACTGTAAAGATTTAAAAAAATTGAACCTTCACCTTGCCAGAGTTTTAAGTGGGTTCCACCAACTTGAAGTTGGGAACTTCAAATACCGTCAGACATCTAGATAGATATACCTATTTTGGGTCTTATCAATGTCGGGCAATTTCGTGTATTGGAACACACCAAAAACGAATAACACCTGAGCTTATATACTGTCCACCTAAGTCAACCGAGGCGAGATGTAAGAACATCACGTGATTGCCGCAATCGGTACATACTATTCATTTTACATAACATTATAGCAAATCAAATTACAAACAATGTTTGTAAATCTGAGATGCTTTTTTATTAGAAACTGTCAAACTGTTAAGTAAAATTACAATGCGTGTAGGATTTATACATATAGATTGTAAAATTACAACTTATCTTTGTAGATTTCCCAACATGTCTTGAAAGATTAATCAAATTGTATTATAATTTTGTATTGGTATACACTGATTTGTAATTTTACTCATCCTTTGTTTTGCAAAACAATTGTAATTTTAAAACAAAATTTTACAAAATTTCAAATTCAATTCTACAATACAGAATTGTAAAATTACTATAAGTATCTGACAAAAACAAAACATGTTTAGTCCTTTGGCTACAACAAAATACAATACAACATTTTGTAATTTTACTATGCAACTGCTTAGTAAAAAGTAAAACTTTACAAACATTTTTAACAGTATATGATGAATTTATGTTACAATAATCACTTTCACACACTTTCCCAGTAAAATACTTTTTTGAAAAATGCTACCTTTTGTTTGAATGGTACAGTCAACCGTCAAAATTGTAGGTAATGGAGCAGAGAAAATCCTCATTGGGTAGTAGAGGCAAATTTCCAATACCGGCAAAAAGTGAATGTCTGGACAGGAATGGTGGAAAATTGGATCATAGGTCCTTTCTTCTTTGACGAGAATATGACAGGACAAACGTATTTGAAATTTTTGCACATTTTTACATTAGCGGAAATGTTTCCCAATGAGAATGGAGGTCCCGATCTACCAAGTGACCCCATTTGGTTTCAACAGGACGCACTATGCGCGTCCTGTCCGTACTTTTTTGGACCCATGTTTTCCTGAGGGGTGGATTGGCAGACGAGGACCGATAGTGGCCAGCGAGATCTCCAGATCTCACCCCTCTCGATTATTTATTATGGTCGCTTTATTAGTGTAAGTCATCCAAAACGTTCTCTATTTGTATATAAGGATTACTTTTTCATTTTAGTTTTACTTATTAAGTAAAAATATTAAAGGTATTTTTCATGTCTCAGTATTTTTGATGTGGTTATCAGAAATTTACAATTTTAATTTTAAGCTTATTTAAAAATATTAATAAAAATCCTACTTTTACCATTTGTAAAATGACAATAAAAGTTATACCATGGCTATGAAACGTTTTATTATTCTATTTTAATTATCTTTCGGATTTTTTTACAACTTGACAAATTGGTTTTAGTGTTTTATTATCGAAAAATAATATTAATGTAATGGATGTGGGTATATAAAAAAAATAATTATTTTGAAATAAATAAAAATTCCAGATAACATGTTTTATGTATTGTTTCTGAGAAGAAGAAAAAAGGTGTCACAAAAACTTTAATTTTTACAATAAAAACTGTTCATCTGGAATATATGAAATTTAAATTATATCAAGCAAAAAACTTGTAGGAAACCAATTCTTATCGATCATATATTGGACATTTTCGCACCTCCGGACCCCCCAGCAAAAACGAAAAAAGACATTCGTCTTCCAGTGCTGTCATCGATTTAAAGAGATAAAGTGCCCGAACAAACGGCCACAATGGTGCCAACAGAATGGACACAATAAGGTAGCAACCTGTTGGTTTGTCACACGGGCTCGGTCTAACGGGGGGTCGCGATGGGTGTCCAAAATATTAGCCCTAAAGATGCGGATGGGCGTCTTTAAGGTACCCATACAGGTACTGAGTCGGTGTTTCTTTGTGTCAATGTTGTAATAGGATTTCGAGAGTTTGAAACAGGAAAGCATTATTGTTGTTCAGTTTTATTGCCGAATTCCTGTTTTACATAAGTGAGTTCTGGACCAATTGTATGGACTCTTCCTCCACTAGCACCCTGTATATATATAGTAGGACAATTTCTTAAGACCCGATAACTTTAATCAAATCACGTATCAATGCTTTAGTATTAACAACAGCATATCGCGAGCATAAAAAATGGACACCTGCGCACGAGCACGGCCTTCTTCTACATCTACTGCATTCTTCGGGATTATTTTCGCTTAGAGATTCGCCATGCACGTCGCAACACCCGTGAAAATCACGAAACAAACGCACGACGACGATCTAAACGCAAAATAAAAAATGTCGTACCTATGATCATTAATGAAAATGCTATGGAGGTATGAAGATAGAACGATGATTCTAGAGCCATATTTAATTAAGTAATATACCCAAGTGTATCAGTAAAAACAAACCTGTCAATGCAACGTGGTCTTATCGATTTAGAGAAGTATCTTAAACGTGAATTAAATTACCAATAAAATTAAGTTCCTCATAATAGTATATTATTTATCAAGTTTGCTTAATTAAATTAGTGCCTAGAAAAGTTTATAAACGAGTTGCGTACTATACTTTTTCTACGGCAAATACTTAATATTATCTAAAAAATTATTTAAATTAAATATTTGTATAAAGCGACATCTTTACGAAAATAGTCCCAATAAACATTTTTGACGTAATTTTCACCATTACCATTGCCCGTTATTATTTTAATTAAAGTTAACAATTATTGATACTTTCAAATATTAAAATAACTTCAAAATATAAATTTGTTAAGCAAACATTTGTATTACCTACTATAGTTGCAAAATATTATCACAAAGTGTTAAAAATTTTAGACTCCCGTGTAAGAGAATATTAAAGGTACAAAAAGTGACAGGTTTATTTATTGGAATTTTCGTTGGAATTTCTAACATGGGAATCTACCGGCGTTAAAATCTCAATTTTTTTTGTGTAAATCAAAATTTATCCCTTGAAAATAGACTAACAATCGATATAGAAGCAGTTTTTCACAGTAAAAGGGCAGATAATGTTTTATGGGCACTGTACGCAAAATTTTTAACGCTTAATCAGTTAAATCTAGTTAACTACACTACTACGGCGAAAACAAAAGGTCAGTTGAACTGACTCAGTTCATATAATCTTTTCAAAATTGGCGTCAAGAAACTATTTAATGCTTTTGTATTTTTGAATACAGTTGTTATTATTTTATTATCTCAATATATTAAGATAATAAAATAATAACAAGTGCCAACTTAAAACTTTAGCCCGTGACTAAAGCGCCATAAAGCCACAACTTTTCAATGTGTGTTTTAAAGGTGGGAGTAGTAAAAATAATATAGTATATAATAGTATATTATAAAGTACAAACTAGTATATTATAAAGTAATTTTCGTATCTTACAACTTTTCTATTACAATTTCCTTTTATGTTGTTTGTCCAAATGTCAGAGGAATCTTGCTATTCACGCCTGTGAATGGCCCTTTAGAAATCTCAAATCTTTGCCTTTACTATTATTAGTATTAGAGAACAATGCGCTGTGTAAAACAATTTCCAACTTGTGTTACAGTTTCAGCCTAATAAAGCTCAAGGGGTTTATTTATATAGTTATAAAAACATGACAAAGTCAAGCTAAAGTATAAAAAGTTACTTTGTTTTATTTGTATAAAGTGTCCCATTTTCATACGTAGCAATTTTATTTTGGAACGTCCCAATAGCCTCCTCGATCTCCAGATCTCAGTATGTGCGATTTTTTACGCAATGGAAATTCTAGATAGTAGAATCAGTTTACCTTCGAACTGATATTTACCTCACCTAATAATTTCCAAATAACTGTATTCACTTAATACTGTATAATTATATCAAAAGTGGCCAGGACCTCCGAGAAGATTTATCCTAATGAAAAATACTAAATATCGGTTTGTGTTTAATAACACAGAAATTTGATTATGCAGAAATTTAATTGCAGGAAGGAGACTTGTGTAAAATTAAAATCATGTTTTATATTTTTTATTATCATTATTTTATTAATTTACAAATTATATCAATATTATTCACCTTAACTAGTATATGTACAATAAATATGTACAAACAAAAACTAACAAATAAATATGTATCGTACTGAAGTACAATTATTAGGAAATCAGACATTTTAAAGCATAGAAACTATAAGTGATAGTAATTATTAACAAATTTCTTTTATTTAAATAATTATTGCAAACTTAGTGTACCCTAGTCGAACACATCTCCATAGCACCAAAATAGGGGTACCCAGATTTCACCTCACCAGGTGAATGAGCCCCATAATGTGCCCCAGAAGCAAACAAACTGTAACAAAAAAAAAGTTAAATTAGCACATTATTTTAATACAATTAAGTTATATAAAGTCAAATATTATTAACGCTAAATAAACATCGATATTATCAATGGTATTCCAAACCCTATTTATTACCGCATACATTATTATTAATACCAGGGAATTAATTATATATAGGCATTCATGGTAAAACAGGCTTAAGAAGTTGATTATGCACCGTGGCATTGAACTAAAAAATGTAATTTTCGAAATAAAATGGATCGTAATCGTTATGGTATCATGGTACCCTGAGAAAATATATGGCACCTCATCTTGGTGATATTACCATAAAATACTAAAAAATATGAATTTAAACAAAAAAAATTTGATGGTACCCTTTTTGGTACCCTAAGGAAATTTATGGTAACCCTCTGAGCAATAAAATCCTCATTAAACCTTTTTTAAATTTAAACAATGGTACCCCATAACAAAAATGATCAACTTAAGTCTGATGACTTTGTTTTTGACCACGGTGCGGGTACCCAAAGCAACAAATCAAGGATGGTACCGCGGTACGGGCGGCACCCAGATCCCTGAAATCAAGATCTGTCATTGAAACGGTTCGCTACCGCAGTACCCACTGATTAACCGTCATTGATTATTAAACTTGCGCTTCGTGTCAATTTAAATGGTACCCGGTGTTGGCTAATAAATAGACGTGGTGCCGCTCTCTATTTAACTCGAAACATTGTGCTACCGAGAAATTTCTCTTAATTGCGCCGAGTGATTATGAATAACTGTATTGAAGTCGCAAATCATTCGGGTACCATTGGTATTCTCACGTTAAAATGATTAAGTATCTTTGAAACCTAATAAAATACACATAAGTATGCTTACCTATAGTTTTCATGCCACGTGGATAAATTATCGGGAACCTTGTTGTTCTGCCTACCCCATACAGGTTGTTGTGTGGATGGTACGCTGTGCTGGTTGGGTGAAACTTGAGCCATGTTGTAATTAAACTGATTCGCACCTTCCAAGTTTGTAGACGAGCTGTAGGAATTGTATAGGGAACTTTGAGATGGTGGTGAGGTACTGGCAGTACTAGGTGGTGTTGTTAGGGTGGGGTGGGCGCCACTTAAAGCTGTGCTACCTAAAGCCGCCGAAGCGTAGCTTTGTTGAGCCCACGATGATTGGTTGAAACCGCTTTCTGGGTATTGTTGGTGTACAGGAAAGGCGCTTTGAAGTGACATAGTATTAAAGGCGTTAAGTTGCTGGGAATTTAGTTGTTTCCTCAATCTAGCTCGTCTGTTGGAGAACCAAACTTGTACTCTGGCTTCGGTGAGTTTGGTTTTTTGTGCTAACTCTTCCCTGGTGTACACGTCGGGGTACTGAGTGCGGCCAAAAGCGCGTTCCAACGCTTCCAACTGTTCGCCAGTGAAAGTGGTTCTGGAACGCCTCTGTTTTCTTTTTAACGGTATTCCTGGTTCTGATTCCGTATCGGATTCTTCGTCACATGACGAGTTTGGGCCTGCAAAAAATAAATAACACTTAATTTGTGGACCTCACACGTTGTGAATGATACAACAGTATTCATTCAGGGTATAATGATGCTCGAGATGATTGATTTTATTGTGGTTAGTTAATTTGGTTTCCTTAGGCTACTGCATTTATTTTTAATGTTAACTCACCTAAAATACCGTCGATGGAGTGATTTTTTCTTTCAGGGTCATCTTTCCTCCCACCACGTAGCAGTCTGCTGATCGAACTCACGGAAGGGGCCGAATTTTTATCACACACCCCTTCTTTTATCAATCGATCCCTGATCTCCCACGAAAAAATGCCACCGTTGTCTTTTTTTAATTGCTCGATTCTAGATTCAACTTCAGCGGTGGCCACTCGAGGTTTGCTTCCACCGATGACACCGGGACGGATACTTCCGGTTTCCTGGTACCTGTTCAATATCTTGGAGACGCACCCGTGCGATACGCGAAGTTGTCGCGATATCACACAGGGTCTCACTCCCGCAGCAGCCATTTCCACGATCTTCAGTCTGATGTGGTTCGGAAGCGGACGTCCGTTGATGAAAACACCCCCGAGCTGGTTGACGCGGCCCTGACCTGCAAACATAAGAAAATAAATGTTAGTTGGTGACTTTAGTTGACATAATTGTTTTAAGTGTTATTAAAGCAAAAGCAGAGACATTTTTAACATAATAATTATTAAACAAATATTGGAAATATTACCCAACACCAAAACAAAACACAAAGTGCTTAAAGTACTTTTCGCAAACGATACCAACATCTTCAGAAGCGAACCTTACTTTGATGGATCTTTTAGTTTGTCCAACATATTTCTTATCACAATATTGTCAGTTTATTTCGTAGATCCCCGAACTGTCAAGATTGTAATAAGAAATATTTCTAATATTTCATAAAATATATCACCAAAGTTGTCCTTTTTCAAGTAGAATAATTAATGTTATTTAAAAATTTCATCAAAATTGATAACTGTGTAGGTGATGAAACAAAACAGTGACCCCAGTAATATAGTTACCTACATCACTTATTATTTGCCCTAGGGGTATCATTTAACCCTTCCACGCTTAAAAAATAGCAACAACTAAAAACATCACAAAAGCAACAAGTGTTACGACTGATTTCTCGAGATGTGCACACCAAGGAACAAGGAAAAATTTCGTATGATTGTGTTTGTCCGTAAGAAGTATAGAGAAGGCGGGAACATGTTTAACGAAATGAAAAGTCGGCCTGGGTTGCGGCAGCTTTGATCTTACTAATGTCTGTTTTCATCAGCCCGAATCCTACACCTGATTCATAACAATCTTATAAGAGCGGCACATGCAATACAGTACCATATGAACCGCAAAAACACATATATTTGATTTTATTTTACTTTTAAATCGACTTGGTAATACAGTACTGCTACACTGAAAGAAATTTGTTGCTAAAAGTAAATACAAATTTATACTAAAAATTTTATACTAGTGCTTTACACATTTATACTACTGTTTATTATGAATGTATGGTAAATTTTGTAATACATTTATTGTAAAGAAGATATGTTAGATCTAAATAAAAATAAACTTACCCTTACTATAAAATGTAAACTATAAGTGAATTACAGCAAAAAAATATTGCTAGAAACACCATTTATATTGCTAGGGCAGCAATAGGCTGCTAACCAAACGAATATATTTGTTTTAGCAATGTATGTGGTAGTCTATATATGAAACATAAAATATATTTGCCCTAATTATTTTTTTATTTAACTTTAGTATATATTTCTTTCAGTGTAAAGGGATGTCAAGGTACAATTAGCACTGTAGAATGATGACACGCTATAGTAAAAACTAGCTAAAATGATGACAAGTTAAAATTAGAATGACAAGATAAATTATAAATGACGATAATTTGTGATATCCATCAAAATCATTCTTACCCCTTAATTGGAATATGAAGATATGTGCCGCTTCACTTAAATACTTTCCATATCCCATGAATTATGCCATAAAAAATAAAAAGCATCGTGAGGGTTAAAAATTCCTCACCTGGGCAGACTTTCATAGTATGTAGTAAAATGCAAGCAATACTGGTAAGAGGCTCTTCCAAAGAGCTCTATCTTATTACCTGATTACCAGAGATACATTCATACGTAAATCATGATGATTTAAAAACGATTTGTTACTCAATGGCCTGTAAAAATTTGCTTAAAGACCACCCTGTTTAAAGCTCAATTGAGATTTACCAAAAAATGTATGCTCAATTGACTTTGAATACTATATCCATTGTATAGTATTGTATACGTATTCTTATTCATGTATTGTCGTTTAGCCATGTATCTATTGTACGAATATTGGATTTTAATAAAAGAAACATGAATTCAGCTTTTGTAAAGTATATATGCTCACTTTAACATTCTAAAATTGGATTAAAAATCATTTTTTAAAAAATGTTGTTTTCGCAAAAAACATTTCAACTAATTATGATGACTTTGTGACTAAATCTTTACAATTTCCGGCCCACTCAAATAATATATTTTACGTTTCAAGGAACTGCAGAAATGCTTTTGTTTAAATTAAATGGGCTAATTTACAATACGGTCGGGATTTTACGACCGCTTTAAAATCTGACTCTCTGAAACCACGTTACATAAATCATTTTCGTTAAAGAACACCTGCTGAAATTGTGTTTTGATGACCTTTTTATTAAGTTTTAGTGCGTTTGAGGGCCGCCAAAGTGGTTTATAATTAAATTATTATGATTATTAGGTTTTATGACTATAGATTATCCAGAAGATGTTAAATGCTCAAATAATGATGATGAGGTAAAACGGTGACAATTTGTGATTTTGTATCATCTAACTAATTGGTATCATGTTTCCCCATATGGGTATCTTAAAGCTTCTTATAAAAAAAAATTATTAAAAACCAAACTGTCATGTTATTAAAACCATCGGTAGTATGAACGTTATCTACCCAGATTATGTCAAACCGAATGGATAAAGATCTATGGAAGAAATGCTCGAGGTGATTTTTAATACCTTTAATTCTTGTAAAACCTGCCTTAAATCTGTATTATTAACTTATCTCAAGATCAGAATCCCGACATATATGAATTTTAAGTGACTCTAAAGACACCTTGGAGGTTTTAAAATGGAATTTTTGAAGCGCTAACATGTGACATGTTTTTTTGTGTTGCAAGTCTTTGTATAGGCGGCCGACTGAGTGTGATGTGTAAATTATTGAATTAATTTATGGAAAATTATAATGTATAAGTTTGTTAAAAATTTTAAGATTTTATCGACATAATCGGAAAAAAATTAAAGGTTTTTGCTCTTTGATGAAACTTGATTAAGCAACGGTGTTATAATGTCGCGTAGTGTCAGGACTTTATAAATCAAAAATATCTCTATTTAGAAATGTTAATAAGACATATTTATAATCCATCAGGGATATTATTAAAAATGTTCTCCAATATAGTTTATGAGATCCCTGGGTAATTGACAAAACTTTATGAAGGGTTTCTTTATTTTTTATAAGGATATTGAAGGCTTAAATATTGAATCGTACCTTGAAATGGATATCCAGTGAAATATGGCGACATGTTTAGAGATACAGCCATTTACTGGTGCCAGTAACACAAAACAAAACCCTCGCACTTGCTCAACAAAACCACCAAAAACTCAACTTGAACTCTCTGAAATAAGTAATAACTAGACGGTGTTTTTCTTGCGGATACCAGATCTTAACTGACCACACGACCAGGAGTGGGTTCCCGAGGTGTTGCCATGGTACCGCCCATAACCCAGGCATTCTTTGTTATTTGCGTGCCGAGTTGTGATTGGTGGGAAGTTGTGAATGGGTGTGGTCTGTTTTTAAAGCCTACTTTAATGCTGTGGGACCACCCCAGGAGACGCTGGGTCTAGCGGATACTTTGAACTTTTTGAATTCAGGGTAGGTAAGTTTTTTGGATGGATCGGGTTTCTTGGGATGAGAGAGAGTTGATACTTTAATTGTTATTATTATTATTTTCACATAATGTTTATCGTAACGATTATTGCCAAAGGTTACCTGATTAATAATAAAATATTTGTTTGTATCCTTAATGGAAAACAGCCATTTGATTAGCTAGAATTCAATAAAGAACTGTTTTATTTTACTAATTAGCAACACTTTAATAGTTAGCAACATTTGACTCGTTAGCAACAAAACCAAACAAACAAATTTGACATTTAACAAAAAAAATTCACAATTTTTATGTTCATAAATATTAAATGTAGAGTTAGATTTATTTTGTAATGAAATTCCATTTGTACTTTTGGAAAATTCGTTTAATGAAACATCCATGATAGTTGAACTTGATGAGGATAAGTGCTGCCAAGAGTCATCCTTTGAAGCTTCCTGTTGATTGGAGCCTCTAAAAATTTTCTTCGATGTTTGAATTTTATTTTGAATGCTTTCTCCTATATAACCCTCAGCAGAAGATGTTGAAGACCACCCCTTCAGTCTTTTCAAATCAGGGATCATTATCAAACATGGTAGCTGCACTCCTTCGCATACAATGCCCTGTGTAGCTATTGGAATCAGGAAGCTTCAAATATTCAACAATTTTTCTCGGCAAACTATAAAATTTGTTGATTACCACCGGTTGCACATTGCATTTACCATTCCGATAACAAACAAAAAATCTGGAATGATTCGTGTTTTGTGGCCTTAATTTACGATACTTCCGATACAACTCAATTCCGAAGTTATGGTAAAAACTTGCTTCTTTTTCGTTTTTGTATTACGTAGTGTTACGATAATAACTGATTTATTCTCTTCTTTATCGTTAATTAATAGTGTTCGTAATTCTTCCCCTCGCATTGCTCCATTTAAAGCAAATTAATGCCACTTTCATAAATAGATACTATTCATTCGAAGCGTCATATAAAAACTTCATAATTTGTTCAATTGACAACACTTTTGACTTTTTAGGTTCATGTCCTTCATTCTGTTTTTCAAAATGCAATTAATTGCTTGTATTTTGAAATGTCACTGCCTTCATATTTGCAATGTACTCTTCAGCATCGAATATGTTGACCACAGTGACGATGCCTTCAGATTTTTGGACTAAAAATACAAAAAACGCTAGCATAACATTTTCACTGACACCTTGTACCCCTTGACTGTTTCTCCATTAACAGAATTATTCAAAAGTTTTATCATATTTTTCTTTTGACTTAGATGGAAGCAGATTTTGAGTCGCTTCTCTCGCTGCTTCCAAAATACTTTTTTTACTCACTAAAATACTTTCTCTTTTCTTTACTTATAAAACAATCACTATTCCTAAATCTTTAGGTACTCCAATATAATTTAAAAAAACAAATTCATCATAATAATTATTCCGCTATTAAATAGATACGAGAAGATATAACCGATTATACTATACGTTCATAATTTAATCGAATTCGATCCCGCTTCCCATTAGGCCAAAAATAGATAATCTGATATACATAGTTTAATTTGACGTCTATGAAGACCTGAGGCAGCATCAAACACGATCAATAGCATTGTTGTAATATAACCACTTTGTAGGGGAGACTATACAAACGATAACAGAATCAGTGTACCCTTGTTGCCTACCTATTTATTTGCGAAATGTCAATGTTTACCCTGGATATGCAATATTGTAAACAATGTATTAAGATTTGTAATGTACGGAGAATATAGGAACAAGAGTTTTCACATAAATTTAAGCGATGAAATAAATATGAAACCAGCAATGCATCTGAAGATTCACTTTTAAACTGGGTATAAACATAATAATGTTAAAAAATGTTGAGATTTCTCAAAAAATAAACTAAAGACTTTGCAATCAAAAAGTCGCATATGATAATTTCAATTTAGTTTCTCGTCAAGAACAATACCTAAGAAGGTGAGGTGTTTTTTCTGGAGATGTTGTACATTCAAGTCGAGAGATTCATGGTCTTGGTTGCATTCAGATGGAGTAAATTATAGGCAAACTAGGACTATAGTATATATACCAAATCCAAATTTGTGTTGCGTGCCATCTCAAGAATGGTTACTTTTGTTTGACAATAAAAGTGTTGTATCATCTGCGGTTCAATTTGAGCTCCAAGTCATTTACTTACACTCTAAACAGCACAGGTCCAAAAACTGAACACTGTGGTGCACCCCCACATACATTAATTCGGCTAGATTTTGTTGTATTTGTATTGTTTTTACATTTTGCTATTAACTCATCTGTCTAATTGTGGCATATATTTTTAACAATCATGTATAAACATAATTGCAACTCCAAAACGCTTGAAATCACATTGCAATAAAAAGCAGCTTAAAATGGAAAAATCTCGCTCATAGTTATTATTGTTGAAGCCATTAAGTCGAAATTGTCAAGTTTGGTCTGTGACCAGACCATTCATTCTCGTCCCAAGATCATAAGCGACGGTCATAAACCAAGAATCTCATTATCAAAACTCTTAATTGCAACACTACAGAAAGTTTAAACGTGTGACCGAATAAAGGACGAGAAATATGTTAGTCAATTCACTCAGTGGCGTAGAACCGCCCTTAAGAGTTTAAAATTTCGAACATTATTATTTAGATTTTCGATTTGAATGTGGCACAAAAAATATGTCGATTCTGAACTCGCATTATATGTTTTTGCCCTAAAAATATAAAACTGCTGAAAACTACCTCCTTGTGTACTGCACTGGTCCTCGGCAAAATTTTCGCCTGCAATTTTCGAAGTGTAAAGGCGTGCAGTGCCGCGCAGTCACGGATCTCTAGGCGACAAATTTTATGTTTTGTTTGTTTATGAAATTAAATTAGAATTGTACGACATGAAATTGCTTTCGAATGCCCGTGACCGGGGGATATCCACCGAAACTAAACATTATAGATATAATGCGGCAAAAATGTCAATTTTTTTCTTCGACAAGAAATTTACCGACAATAAACTGCACATCTTAAAGTGCATATTAACACAGGTGTTCTCCTAGAATGGGTTGTAAAATATTCTTCTCAATCGCTAAATCATACAGTGTTGCAATTTGTTTATAAGTATATAAAAAATTATAAATATCTAAAAAACCTTACAATTCAACTAACTATTATAATCTCTAGTTAATACACACCCTATCCCTTTAAAACAGTATTGGAACAGCGTGCACTGAGAGAAATGAATTTGTTAAATCAAAAGTTTTAGAAATGCTATGCCTTTTGATATTAAAACAATAAACATTTAACTTAAATTTTTTTTAATTAATATTTTGAGAATGTCAAATTAAAAAGGTTATTTTAATAGTCCATTTTAATTAAATCAGTACATATATTAACACTAAAAGTATATTGAATAAATATTGTTAAGACATTTGATTAAATCATTTTTCTATTAGTTAAATGGATGCACACACAAAAATTAAATAAATATGTAAAATTATTGAAGCGATGTCCTTTTGTATTTTGCCTTTAAAAACTTAAAATATTAAGTCAATATATCTTGGTAATTATTCTAAAATTGAAAGATATTTTGTTAACATTTTTATCCAATTACTTTAATGAAAAGGTAATTCAACCGAGAATAACACTGTTAATTTAACTCATACTGAGAGTTAAATAAATTGAATAAATGTTGTATATTACGTCGTTATATAGGGCAGCATGTTCTGCCCTTATCTTTATCTACCTCTGCCACCACGCCATTGTTCGTTCTAGTGTCGTTTGGGTGCAATTTTACATTGAAAAAACTTGGTAAGTGTGATTTTTTTAATATATTTTTTCTTTTACAATACAGAATGCCCCTAATATGTTTAATATTATTGTTTTGTAATAATTGAAGACGAAGCTAAGTTTATAGTAATATTTTCTCGCGTTACCATGCTTGTGATTATTACCTACCTACCTGTAGGTACATGTTTTAATGTAGCATTCATAAAAATAAGTGTCTCATAATTAACTTTTATAGCAATGGAATCGTTATTAAACAAATGGGGATTTGCAAACGAAATTGTTGTTTTTAAAGGTTTATTTATTTGTAATAATATTTTACCATAAAATAAACTTTATTGCAGGACAAGATATCGATGAGCAAAACCTTTATAATATAAACGCTGAAATTTTAAAAGATTTAATTCCAAAAGCAGGTCATCGAATAAGGTATTTAAAGAAATAAAAGAAATACAAAAAAACTATTTCGTTAAGTAGTGTATACATATCCAAGTATTGTATTGTAAGTATTTAAGTAGTACCTACGTATTCAATTATACTTTTGTTTGTTGATAAAACCAGGTATTTTTTTTTATTAAAATCAGATTTTTTTGATTTTAATTAAATTTTATACAATAATACAATACATGCGTAAATAATTTAAATAAAAGTAAAAAAAAATATTTAATTCTATTATCTTTTTTATTTTGTGTTTAAATGAATTTTTATTTATCTAATAAAGTTTTTTTTTAATAAATTTGATATTTTATTCAACTTTTCCAGTTAATTACATTTACATACTTTTATATTTTGTTTAATTATCCAATATTTTAAGTAAAATTTTTTGAATCAATATTTTAAATATTTGATTTTAGTAACAATTAATTTTTTTAAACCTTTAAATTTATTAATCCAAGTAATTTAAAAGATTAAAACTGCTCCCATGTTTATTATTTCACTACTAATTGTGCATTAAATTAATATTTTTAATAATTTGATTAAATATTTTGATAATATTATT